AAGGCGCTGGTGGCGGCGGGGTGCCGTGCCTCTGAGGCTTTGCTCTGGCAAAGCCTCAGAGGCGCGGGACCCCTCCGCCTCCCCGGCTTTGCTCCGGGTGTCCCTGGTCTGCTGGAGATGGTCCCCAGCAGACATGGGGCACCCGGAGCAGCTTTTCTTGCCCCTGAGGTCGAGGTGGCGGGACCGCTGCGCTCTGGGCGGTCCCGCTGCCTGCGAGCTCCGGGGCGAGAGCCCCGTTCGTAAGTGCGGATCCGACATAAGTCGGATCCGCGTAACTCGGGGACTGCCTGTACTCTGATTGATTGAAACAGTTCTCTTGACACAAGTTTCAGAAATTGCAAGTATGCATTTGTTTGTCCAACTTAGGCTATGTCTACACTATGCCAGAAAATTGACCTAAGAGATGCAGTTCCAGCTATGAGAATAGAGTAGCTGGAGTCAACATACCTTAAGTCAAATTTCAGAACTCTCCCCATTGCAGGTCAATGGGAAAAAACCTCTCCTGTCAGCTTTCCTTAGTTCTCATGACCCAGTGGAATGCTGGGGATGTCATCAGCAGTTAATTTAGTAGGTCTTATTAGAACCGCTAAATCAAACCCCAGAAGATAGCTCTCCAGATCATCAATCTTGTGGTAAGTGTAGACCTGGCCTTAGGCATATGACTAGGCCAGTATGTATGCACACGTAGATTTGCACCTCAAATGGGTGAAGTTCTCTTGTAGTAAGACCCCAACACAAAAGTTTATGTAGAGATTTTAGAGACAAATGGATGGCTTCATTAGTTCGGACTGATCTAGAAGGGAGACATTTAAAAATATTTCCATGCACTGACCCTGCTTCAGATGTTTTAAAAGTTTCTAAGTATTCAAACTGCATATCTTTGAGCTAAAGGAAATCTTGTTAGGAAGTTGTAAAGCAAAATGTTGTGGTGATCTTGTTTGTGAGGTTTTGAAAGCACAGAATCCTAGGCTGGTGCCTGATTAGGGCAAGCTAATTAATAGTTTTTATAATTTAAGAATATTTTAAAAGACTAAAAGAAAAATGTGAGTAATAAAAATATAAACCCTGAAACTTGACCATAACACACACTTAAATAGATATAGTTAGGGCTCGCCGAACCACAGCGATCGCCAGCCATGCTGTCCGGTGATCTGTGCATGCGCAGATCATTCTGCACATGTGCAGATCGCCCGAACCCAGCTCTTCCGGGTTACAATCTACTTGCCATAGGCAAGTAGATAGTATAATTTGTCGAGCCCTGTATATAGTCCTATTTCCAATTCAATACGTTCATTCTTGGAATCCGTTCCATGATGTATTTAAAAAAAAAAAAAAAAGGAGTAAGTAGCCAGCACCATGCCTTACCAAAATGAACACCAAGATTGCTAGGGAGGAATTATAGGTATAACTCATCTATAAAAGTGGAATATACCAGATGGAAGAATACAAATAGTAAAATATGTATTTTAATATGTATACATGTACTCTGACATTTGTCTAGATAAAATTGCCTGAACCACTAAATATAAATGGTTTGTCAGTTCACTTCACTTGATAGCACAATATTAAAACAATATCAAAACAATATTAAACTTAAATATGTGGTTGTCCTCCCAAATATGGACATAGTATTGTCTTCCTGAACAGTATTGTTTGAAATATTTAAGGAATATCCTCTTGAGATGAGTGTATGGTACAAGAGGCCAAGCATTTTTCTTGTTCATAATGTGATAACCGTGACAAACCATAATGAGAGAAAAATCTGTGTTTCTTTCAGTTTCTGTGCTGTGCTTGAGGGTAGCGAGAATGACATGAGATTTGTATACTGTGCTTCCTGTATTTGCTACATGCTGAACAACTGGTCAGGCATGGATATGAAGAAAGCAATAGAATATATTAGAAGAAGTATGGTGAGTTTTCCTAAGTGTGTTGTGTGGGTTTTTTTGGGTTTTGTGTGTGGTTTTTTTTGTTTGGTTGGTTTTTTGCGGGGGGGGCCTAGGGGGAGATTTTTCAGATCTTAACAGCAGGCTGTTTTTGCCACCTGCTACAATCACCAACTCTACTGAATATAAGCCATAGCCCTTCATCTTCTCCTATGTGTTTGCTGGTATACTGAGTTGAAAGAAAGGAGTAATGGTACAGTACTATAATAAATGCAAAATAAATAAACCAGAAAGCTTGGAGAATCCAGTGTAGCCTCCCTTAATTAATGTAGTACAATCTTCCTTAATGGACTGGGTGGGACAACATTTAATAATGTTTCTAGACTGCAACAGCCTTGAACTAAAGAAGCAGAGCTGTTCCAAAGTCTAAAATTCTAGTTAAAACATCATTCCATCTCTCCTGTACTACACAATAGACTTCAGTTTTTCACTGAGATTGGATAATCCTATTGTGTTGCCATGTTGCAATCAGTAGGTCCCTCATCATGGTAGGATTTAGCATACATGCTGATGTACTTTCCAAGGTTGTAACATTTACTCCGATGAAAAACAGGCTGTCTTTTATTTACTATTGTTGTAAATAGTATAAAACTAGTAGCTAAAAGCTCATGTTGGCAGTTGGGCCAGGTAAATCACCATCTGTGCATTCTACCAGCGAAACTGTTAATGCAGATTAACTGTAATGATTGGTTGAGTTGCTTTTATCAGAATGGTCTAGCTGTACACTGCTAAGCATAATTAGTAAATGACTGAACTTAGAACTGGTACTTCAGCCTTATCCTCCTGGCCTTGACTGTTGCCTTAGTCGTAGTTTACCATGCTCCTCTTCTTGAAATCTGGTCTTCCCTGGGCTTTCTATGATTCTCCTCTCCTGTTTCTTCTATTAGACTCCTTGCTTCTACAGCATGACTTTTGAAGTGTTTTCTTCATCACTCCATCCCCACCCAGCACTTTTCACGGGGCTCTGACTTTGATTCCATTTACTCTTATCTTGCAGTTTATCTCTGGGTAATTTCATCTGCAAACACCAGTTCAGCTATTGCCTGTATACTGATGACTCACAGATCTCTCTACTTCAGACCTGTCTCCTTCCATCCAAACTGCAGTCTTGGTTGGTCTGTCTGTCTGATACTGCCTTGTGGATGTCTGTCAGCTCAAAATCAATATGTCTAAAACAGAACTCTTAATAGGGATGTTAAAATTAGATTAATCAACTAACTGACTAGCTCCATAGGGCGTTTCAGTCTTTGAAATGTAAGCCAGCCTCTCCCACCACCTCCACCTTCTACTCCCCCACCCCCTACCCCTTGCTGCCTCTTTCTGATAGAGGCAGCAAGGTGAAGGGAAGTGACTAGTGTGTCGACTGTCTGATAAGCTTTTACTTATTGGATAATTGACTAGTCGATTACTCGCTAACATCCCGAACTCTGAATCTCCTTGCCCCCATTACCTCCTTTCTTGATATCTGTTGACAACAGCACCAGCCTGCTTGTGACTTAAACCCATAATCTGGATGTCATCTTCAAAGTGGACCTCCTTCTAGGTCCTCGCATCTGGGCTATGTCTGAATCATGCAGATTCTTTATGCACAGCATCTCTAAAATATAGCTTTTCCTTTCCATCCATACAGCTCAAGCTCTCCTCATCTCCAGTACTGCAACGTCCTTCTTGCTGGCCTTAACTATGTAATCTTAACTTCACTTGTCTATTCTGAACACAGCTGCAAATGATTTCCTATCATGTCACTCCTCTACATCCCTCCACTGCCCTGCTACCTCTGTTACCTCAGACACATTCTTTTTTGGACTCATGCCTCTGATCAGTCCATGATACTGGCCTCCATTACTCACTTGCTAAATTTTCTTTGTGCTTTCTTCCAGGCTGCCCCTCATACTTAAGGAGCTCCTAGGAAACATCTGCAAAAGTAGTGTGTTCTCTTTCTTAAATCTCTCCTTTTCCCGCTATAGAAAGTTTAGCAGTGCTTAGGCCACTGGTGTGCTGAGACCACTGTCTGTCATGCTAATCAATACTGTTTGTTTCTTTATACTTCCCCTGTCTGTCTGTCTATACACATCAGTTGTTGTTTGTCTTAAGCTTAGTTTGTGAGCTCTTTGGGGCAAGGGACAGTCTTTTTGTTCTGTGTTTGTACAGTGCCTAGCACAATGGGATCCTATGTGATAACTAAGGCTCATTGGATTTATGGTAATACAATTAATAAGTGAACTGAAAGAACAGATTCTGATAGCTCTATGCTTACTAGCGACTCTTTTCGGTCGGGGGGGTCCACAGCAAGTTGCTTGCCAGCAATATCTACTTCCTGGCTATTTATATTTAATTATGGGCCAGTGTCAGAAAACAACTGGTAGGTGACATGGAGCTAGGTACAACTGCTTACATGTTAGGAACCTAGACTTTCAAAGTGAGCTTTTCTAACCCTAACAGTTTGCAAATTATTGGACCTGAAGAGCACATCTTCCTGATTACCCTTTTGCTTCTCCCATATTTGAATGATTTTTAGCAGCCAACCAGTGGAGCTCGAAACCAATGCTTTATATCAGACAGAAAAATAAAATGAGTCTCAGCTATTATTGTAAGACTGCTGTGTGGAGTATTGTGTAGGCTGCTAGGATGATACATTTTCCACCTTATAAGCAAATTTTGCTGTATGTTTATTAAACAATACAATGGCCACAGTTACATTAGCCCAAGGTGGATCTGCTACATGTAAAATCCCCCCCCCCCCCAAAAAAAAAATCTGCAGTGTTGCTATTAAATTCTGGGAATGCTATACATAAACTAAAATAAAAATATTTTGTTTTCAAAAGTAAATTTCTTGACTATATGTGATGTTAGGAGAAAGTCCTACAAGAAAATAAAACTATCTAATTATAAAACAATGATATATTTAGCTTGCGTGATGTGCTTTTCTTGCAAATGTTTAGCTCTATTATTTTTTTACAATGGTACTTTGTTTTGATAGTCCACTAATTACAAGGCAAAATAGATGGCATCATTAGTGAACTGCTGTCATACAAAGATGTGGTTTTGTTTCACCATATCTTATGTTACCATTTGCAAGTACATGAGTCCTATTTATATATTTGAATGCAAGTCATAGTTCATGAATTTATTTCTTTAGTGATGTAAATTATGACATGCAACTGAGGTACAAGTAATTTGTTTAAATAGCAGTGAGACTGTTTAGCTATTATAGAAATTTGTAACTGAATGCCTAAATTCTAATTCTAAAATTTACTGTTGTCAGAACTGAAACAAACTTTAAATCCAAAAAATTGCTACTGCTACTTGAATTGTAGAATTAAGCACATCAATAAAAGCAGAAGTTTGTTTGAATATAAGTTTCAGACTAGAGCTATGCTTTAATATTGAAACTGTCTAAACGTAACATCTTTCTAGATCATAGCTGTCTATGTGTATTGTATGTACTACCTTTACTGTTTGTCACAAGTGGTTTTTTTTACCCCTTTTTGGAACCTATTTCTGCAGTGATGTCTCCTTTTCCCCTCTTCAGTAGAACTATCAAGGTACAGAGTGCAGAATTTGTATTGTTGACATGTGTAACTTAAAGTCCATTCTGACTTTCGTATTCAGGAGTGAATTTGTGATACTGATTTGGGAGGCATTTTAGTGAACTCATGAGGAATGATTTTGAATCACTGGTGCAATAAATGTAAAAAATATATATATCATTTGGAATTAATCATCCTTAAAAGTAGAGGAACAAACTTAGCTATTTTGATTATGATTGTATCACTAAAGATGATTGTGAAGGAAATGTACAGGGGGTTAGAGTTAAGATTGTATTTAATTGATTTACATGTTTCCTAATTTGGATAGGAATTAATTATTCAACTTTCATACTGTAGCAGTGAAGAATTATTTTTGTTATCCTTTCAAAAATAAAAAAGAATTAAAGAAACAAAAATATTCCCTTTTCTTTAATAGGATCAAGTGCACAAAAAGTATTTGGTGCCTGTGAATAATGGGCACCAGTCAGCCAGCTGTCAAGTATTGTCTATTAAAATTTCAGGCTAATTGTGCAGCTGAACATAGTGCACTATTTGGGTTGCACACTTAATGACTTTTCCTGAGAGCTAATTACTTCACAGTACATTAAGCACACCTCCTCCTTTTTATAATTATTCTATTTGTAGAGTTAACTAGCTTCGCCAGCCTAGTTTTTCTTTTCTCCAGTGCTAATCAGCTTGCCATTGCTCAGCAGTTAATGGGCCTATGAAGCTTGGCAGCACATACAGCCTGGACTGCATGCTCAAAATGCACAACTTAAGGGAACTTAGTGTTGCATATGCTCAGTCTTCAAATGTTCATAGCATTTGTTTAGAATCAACTTCTCTAAGGTTAGCCAAGGCCATACTCCTGCTTAAAATGTATTAGATGCAGTGTTCCCTCTAATTTATGTCCATGTGCAGAATGACTCTTGTCATGTGCACCTATATGGCGGTGATATATCACTAGTTATTCTACATGGCCAGTGGGGCAGGGATGGTGCTGAGAAGTTGGGGTGTAGGAGTGGACTCAGACTAGGGCAAAATGGGAGTGAGGGCACAATGGGGAGGAGAGGTTTGGGGTGCAGGCTGCTCTGGGAAGAGAGGACTACCCCCAGCCCTCTCACCACAGCAACTTGGGGCCAGCAACTAGGTGACTTGTCCCCTAACCGGGGCAGGTCTAGGCTAAGGTGAATGAAGAGTGCCTGTTCCCTGGTAGCAGAAACTCTGGGTTAGGTACCATGCCTAGGGTGGCGGGAAGCTTCCTGCCAGCTGTGGCATGGAGGGGAGTTGGAGAGAGAGCTGCGGCAGTTCTGGGTTGGGGTTGGCGTGCTAATGAGGTTGATCTAACCTCTCTCTATTATTTACTGTTTCTACATCAGTTATATCTCCTCTTACTGATTTCCTCCAAATAGTGCCAGATTCAGCAGTTTCTCAACATACGGTTGGTTCGTCACAGTACAGCAGCTTTTTCTGCTTCTGCCTCCAGTTCAATCCCTGCTGCTTCCCCATGTCCCTCACACAACTCAAGTCTCTCATTCCCTATCCATATGTTGCTTCTCCCCATGTCGCCTTTGTTACATGCAGAATGTAAATGGAGATGCCTGGACTGTGCCTTGATGGAGGGGAGGGAGGGGAGCAAAAGAAGGGGAACTGATGAGTGGGAATGTAGGTAAGGTGTTAAATGACTCGTATGTCAGCTGACTCAGGCTCCAGTTAAGGAGCTGTTTCATTGAGGTATAAATGTGCAGTTTCAGGTTCACACCTCGGGCATTGGCACTCTTAGGCTACGTCTAGATTACACCCCTCTGTTGGCAGAGGGATGTAAATTAGACGTTTTGAAAGTGCAAATGAAGCGAGGATTTAAATATCCCGTGCTTCATTTGCATAATCACATCATGGTGCTCTTTCGAACAAGCGCCGTTTCAAAAGTAAAACCGTAGTCTAGACGCGGTTCTTTTGAAAACAGGGCACTTTTTCAAAAGAAGTGTGTCTAGACTGTGGTTTTACTTTTGAAATGGCGCTTGCTCGAAAGAGCACCATGATGCGATTATGCAAATTAAGCGTGGGATATTTAAATCCTTGCTTCATTTGCACTTTTGAAGTGTCTAATTTACATTCTTCTGTTGACAGAGGGGTATAGTCTAGACGTAGCCTTAGAGTCCCACTGCTTGAGCCTGAGCCCAAATGTCTACACCGCGGTTAAACAGCCCCTTAGCCTGAGTGTTATGAGCCCAAGTCAGCTGATACAGGACAACTACAGATGTGTAATTTCAGTGTCGATGAACCCTTAGCTCAGGGGTGGGGAACCTTTCATGGGTTGGGGACTGCACACAAGTAAGAAGCAAAAACAAACCCCAAACATTCACTGAGATGGCCCCTGACTGAGAAGAAGACACTCCCCACATTCCCCTCACACACCAGCGGCTTGATGAGAGGTCAGGTGAATAGATTTTGTGCACTCCAGTCCCACGGGAAGATGGTGCGGGGGGCTGGAGGACCAGCGTGGGTTCTCCAATGCTGGGGAGGAAGTTATGAGCTTCGGGGGCCACATCTGGCCCCTGGACCTGAGGTTTCCCACCCCTGCCTTAGCTGATTGTTTCCTGGGTCTCTGGTAATGAGTTACACTCTAATACCCTTAACTTAGTTAAATACATGTTTTTTTGTGGGGAGATTATACTGAAGTCTGCTACTAAAATAAAACAAATCTGTGTTTAAAAACCCCACTAACCAAAGTGCTTTCTAGTATATTCTGCGGTCATTCTTTAACTTGCTTCAGTATTGTGGCACAGTGGGCAAGTAGCACCCAGTGCTCTGATGACCATTGATAAAGGTTCACATGAACTGGAATTCCTAGGAAATGGAATGAGTCCAGTATGGAATATTAGTCCTTGAAGCTTCCTTGCTTTAGGAGGCTTAAATTGGAATGAAGAAACTATTTTTTAAAGGGGAAGTTTTATAGTCACTTAGGGAGGTTGTTACCCAGTACTCAGGATCAGACCCCTGCTCGCAGCCCGCCATGTGAGCTGTGGGCGGGGAGTGGCAGCCTCTCATGGGCTGAAAGCTGGCAGCTGTGGAACTGGAGCAGCCCCTGCTTGCAGCAGGGGGGCTGCTTCAGCCCAGCTACAGAGGCCCCCTGCCTGTCTCCATTTTAGTTTAACCAGTTAACTGGTTAATTAAATGGGATTTTACGTCCCTAGAGTCCCTATGATTTGTCCAGCAGAATGATCTTGCTTTCCCATTCTTTTCTTTTTCTCTAAATAGAGACTGTTGTTGCTGTTTGGTACATAAGACATTTGTCTTTGCTGCAGATTGTACTACAGTGTTGTACTACAGTCTGCTTACATTTACTAGTGGCATGACTGTTGTTTTCTTGTACACTAAATGACTCTTGACTTGAGAGCAAATATAGACAAATAGCATAGTTTTTTACCTTGTCTGGAGTTTTGCTGATGCTTTGTCCCCATAAGGGGAACACAGTGCCTGCAGAATGTTTTTTATGCATCCACTGAATTGGTTTTTCCTTAGCACTGAAATGCTGCATAATTCAAGAACCTCAAATTTAGCATTTTGAAATATAACAGTTGATTGAAACAGAAAGTTTGGTCTTTTCTCAAACAAAAAAAACTTACATGTGTTCAGACTGTGTCACTTTGCTGATAGGTCAACATGGTGCTGATAAACTTTTGACCCACAGGCTACGTCTACACTGGCCACAATTTCCGGAAAAGCCATGCAAATCAGGTAAGTCAGGATAGGGAAATCCGCGGGGGATTTAAATATCCCCCACGGATTTAAATAAACATGTCCGCCGCTTTTTTTCCGGCTTGGGGAAAAGCCGGAAAAAAAGCGTCTAGACTGGCGCTTTAAAGTAGGAATAAGAGATCCTCCGGAAAAGGGCTTTATTCCGGAGGATCGCGCCAGTCTAGACGCTTTTTTTCCGGCTTTTCCCCAAGCCGGAAAAAAAGCGGCGGACATGTTTATTTAAATCCGTGGGGGATATTTAAATCCCCCGCGGATTTCCCTATCCTGACTTACCTGATTTGCATGGCTTTTCCGGAAATTGTGGCTAGTGTAGACGTAGCCACAGTGTATGCCTTTTGAAAAGTTTTTGGCCAGTTAAAACTAATTAAAGTTAAAATGTTATAATTGGTGTAGTTTGTGATACAAGCCTTGCTAATAAAATGAGGTTATAAACATAGTGTTCAAAATACATATTAGTCTGAACAATTTATTTCTAAAATGGATTTTTTTTTTCAGTCCTATGATAATGGTCTGGCACAGGGAGCTGGTCTTGAATCTCATGGTAAGTGCCTTTAAAATATTTCTCCATTCTTAAAAATGCAGTAATTAAATGACTCTTTATCTTCTGTAAACAATTCTGGGATTCAGTATGCAGGCCTTTTCCTCCATTGTTGGTATTTTAGGTTTTCAAAGAAGAGGGGAAAAGGGGAACACATCAAAAGATTCTCCCAGAATATGTGGGCTTCTTTCTTTGCTATGAGTGGCTCCATCCCAAGATGAGACCAGTTAGGGGTCCCAAAAATATTCTTACTCGAGTATTTTTACCTCAGAAATTTTCTGATTACTTCACCCTCTGATACCTGTTTTCATCCCTCACTGTGGGACCATTGTTGCAGTACTCCTTCCTCATGATACACCCTAGTTCTGCCTGTTGGGGATGTATCCTATAATGATTTCCTATGTTGAACCACAGAGTCTACTTGGAACTGAATTTTTAAAAGATAGTAAATTTTTATTAAAAAAAATTACTGCTGAAGTCAGGAGTTCTTGACTTGGTGTTTTCTTGAGCATGAACATTCCATTTATTCATTGGCAGCAACAAACAGTGGTGAGAAATGTAGGCACTCCCTAGAGAAGTTGGATCATCTCTGATTTTCAGACTTTGTGTTCATATGACGGCCGCTAACAGCTAGTCAGTTGTATTCTTACCACTGGTTTTTATGTGATTACGTCCATGTTTTTCCATGGTATATTGAAGTTGAAAGCAAACCATATTTAAATATGTTCATTTTAGTAACTTATCCATAGTGCTTTACCATTTTGTTACTTTTGTGTGTCTCTCACATTTGAATGATTACGAGAGAAGTCCATTGGCCTAGTTTTCATTGCACAAACTTCAAAGCCTCTTTACATTTCCACTTGTGTAAAGGGGCCTGAGTCCCATTCAGAGTATCTACAGCTTATTCAGATTCTTCCTTAGGACTTTTTTTGACCTTCTCAAAGGCTGTTTCATGGAGTCTATGTATAATTAAAAGGAATAGATGAAATTCTGAAAAGTAATTCTTCGTTGTTTAGCTGTGTTTCAGAAAATCTTGCCAGTTGAGTTAACCTGGAAGTCATAAAGAAACTATCTGGGGTTTTCTTCTCAGTTTCAAACTTCTCTTCAGCTTCAGTTTAAAATATAAGAGTCATTACTGGAATGCCCTTTGTTATAACACAGGGGTTCCTAAACTTTCATAGCATGGACCACATCTTGACATACATTTTCTTATGGTCACCTCTCCTCCTATTATCATAGAATGTCACAGTAACTGCTTATGCAGAAAAGTGATTTAGGCATGTATTTGGTGTGGGTGTGTTACTCTCACTGCATTTCATCAAATGAAAGCCAAGTGGAGAGAGCAACCAGTCTCTACTTGACCCGTGCAGTTTAAGATTAGCAGTCTGGGAGCTGGGAAGAGTGTGGAACTGCCAGCAGCATATAACTTTAGTTGGCTTAGCGATTTAGCTAGTTATCTACAGAATCTATTACATGCCCATAGATAGTTTAATCGCCTGATTGGGAGAAGTCTAGTTTTTCCAACTGAGTGTCTTCATTAAAGGAAACATAGTACTAATATCTGCTTAATATAAACTCTTCTTAGCACTTGTCTTGTATGCTTTGTTTTTCATCCACCATAATTGTGGCGTCACTGAATCAATTGTGAGACATTTTAATGAGGACACTTACATAATTATGTAACTACAGCAACTAATCTGGCTGATGCAGCAGTATTGATTGGCTTCAGAGGGAGCGTGCCTAGCCTGGCTCAGGATGGGCTGTTGGGTTATAGAAGAAACGTAGGAATCTGGGCTGTGCCCACAAAAGCTCATGATACCATCTACATGTTTTGTTAGTCTATAAAGTGTGACTAGACCATTTGCTTACTGTTTTTTTTTGGGGGGGGGGGGGTGAAGAAGGCGCGACTTGGAGTGAGGAATTTCAACAGTCAGCGGTTTATATGCCTGGAACCAGTAAATCTCCCGGGTGGAGCTGCAGCAGGAAGCAAGCAACAATTATAGTAAATGTTCAGTAGAAATTAAAAGTTGGAAGGGAATATGGGTTTCTTTCTCCCCTTCAAAGAGGCAGAGGAAGAAGAACTTACACCTTACGACTCCAAACGTAAATTTAATCATGAATGGGAAAATTTGATGTATTTTGATTGCAGTCTTTATTTCGTGTATTGGAATGATGTGACTCCTTGTTGAATTTGACACTGTTGCTTCTCATTAGCTTGCTTGTGTATGGAAGCCAGTCTGCAGCAGTAAGTAGTGGGGGTACAACTGTCATTGAGCAAATGAGCAAGAACATTTCCATGAATGGAACACTGAACGGTTTCTATTTGCAATCGTACATATAATACTTTGAGCTCTGTGTTGGATTAAGGATCACTTTGTCTGAATTTTACAGTTCATACCTTTCTATACTTCTTTATACAACTGTTAGATTTTTATTATTTTGTAGCTTTTCTGATCTTAATCAGAAGTTGAACATCCATGGAAAAAGTTGCAGAAACAGAATTATTTCTTACAGGTGGTTCCACATTCTGTGGTATTGCTTCACTGTGCTTGATGGGTAAATTGGAGGAAGTCTTTTCAGAAAAAGAACTGAACAGAATCAAAAGATGGTGCATAATGAGGCAACAGAATGGCTATCATGGACGACCCAACAAACCTGTAGACACCTGCTACTCATTTTGGGTAGGAGCAACACTTAAGGTAAAACAGAAGCAGAAGTGAGACATTGCTACAATATATGTATTTAATTGTTTGACTCAGTTAACCAAACTTCATCTCCTCGGGTTAACTATATAGTCCGTGCAAACAGGCTTGACCTTTGAATTACTAAACAGTGTTGATCAATGTACATCTATGTATTGGACTACATATGTCTGATGCTTTCTTGCAAGAATCCAGGATACTAAAACCTTGCACAACAATGTCCCAGTGCACCACTTAAATCGGTTAAAATGGTAAAGCTTCTTTTTATATATAGACATTGCATAATGCTGTAACTTTCTTCCAGCTCTTGAAAATATTCCAATATACAAATTTTGAGAGAAACAGAAATTACATCTTATCTACTCAAGATCGTCTTGTTGGTGGATTTGCCAAGTGGCCAGATAGCCACCCAGGTAAATTTAACTTCTCAATCAGTGTCCCCTATAATTTTTTTTCTACCTTTAAGCAGAATGAATTTTCTTATGTTCACCAATGTGGAAATCACCTTCATATTGATGCACATAACAAAATGTCATGTGGTGGGAGTGATGCCAAAGGGTTCTGAGTGTGCGAGAGGACTCAGGGCTGAGGCAGAGTGGGTTGGAATACAAGGGCTCGGGCTCTGGAGTGCAGGCTCTGGGGTGGGTGGGGATGAGGAGTTTGGGTTGCAGGTGAGGGGCTCCAGGTTTGGGAAGGGGCTCAGGGCTGGGGGTTGGTGTGCAGGACAGAGTACAAGCTCTAGACTAGAGGTGTGGGCTTTTGGGTGGGGCTGGGGATGAGGGCTTTGGGTTGAAGGAGCTTGTTCAGGGCTAGAAGGGGAGCTCAAGGTGGGGCAGGAGGTTGGTGCTTGAGCTAACTTCAGCAGGGCAGAGGGATGCTTTCCCCCAGTGCTGGGGCTATCTCTGATTATTTCCCCTCCACCAGCCATGGCACCTCTGTGCTGGAGTAGGCAGCTAAGAGCTCTTCCTTGCTGGCCCCAGCAGCTTCAGGGCTTAATGGCCCCTGTGTGGGGCTTAAAAATCTGAGTGGTTGTGCAATTTAGGAGGAATTTAGCTCAGAATCCTGATGTGTGTTGTGTTGCCATATGCATTCCAGTGATCCAAGAGGTGGATTATCTTCATCGCACAAAGTGAATATTTTTAATTGTTTACCCTTCAGAAATATGTACAAACAGTAAGCTATAACACATACCTACAAAGCTTTATTTTTGTAATGTAAAGAGTGTATATCTCCATCCTCCCCTTTTCCTTCTTTAAAATGTTACAAATGAACAGTCCCTTATTGAAAGAGAAAACAAGCAACTTGTTTATATTATTAAATATCTGAATAGTATTTCCATATATTCAAAATTATTTTAACTTATAGCATAGATTGTGTAATGCGTATCTTCATCAAGGGCCCATATACAATTATTCTAGAGCCTGTTTTTTGTAATAAACAAAAACAGTATCACTAGAGAAGTGTTATTGAAAAGCTAATACAAAATTTTTTTTACTGTTTATAACTGATGGATAATTTTGATTTATTTTTAAACATTTTTATTATTCATTTCAGTTTTCATAGTTGTAAAAAAATTGACAATATTTATTCAATGAGAGGTTGAGATCCCAAAATTTAAAGCTTTATAATCATTAAAACACAATTGTCAACATCATATGTCAAAATATAAAAAAAAAATCAATAACCTTAAACTTCATTCAGTGTTGAGAAAAGGGTTGCGTTAACTGGCTCATCAAGGACATTTGTATCTCAAACACATTTAGAATCTAAGAAAATTCTTTAATGGTGTAGGAGAAAAAACTTCATCTAATATGTAAATTGAAAAAAACTAGCAGGGATCCTGTCCCATTCATTGTAAGCCTATATGCGATTTTTGCACATCAGTCACTTTGCACTGATCACTGTATACAAATTGACTACGTTCTCCACACTGCTTCCTTAGAAAGGGAGATATAATTAACGTAATTACAACTCACTGGAAGCTAACATGTACACAGAACTACTGAAAATACAGGCTGGCAGTGCAAAGTGTTTTGGAATACATTTGTATCCACATATATTTTTCCTAAGAAAGAAATGTTTTTCATGAAAAGCTGACCTTTTTTTCGCTCACCTATGTGCATGTACCTAGAAGACAAGATCCTAAAACAATCCATTTGGAGGGTCACTAGTTGAGCTATCACAACGCATGTGCAAACAGGATATACTGTTCCTTATGAATGTGAATGAGAGTTAGATAAAACTCAACTTACACAACATTTTTCTTTCTTTGCCTAACTGAATTCCAGAGATGAAAATATTTTTTCACTGATTTGTGTATGGTAAAATTGACACTACTAATAGCAATGAAAAATAACCCTTTCCATACTTCATTCTGTCTTGGATACTTGGGTAGTAGCCAGAGCCCAGGCATGCATAGTTGTTAGAGCTCATGTGTGTCTAGGAAGGAGGTAGCTCAGTTCCAGATATTAAAACTTGGCATTTCAGCAGTCGGTAATCTGATCTTGGAACAATTTGAAAATATGCTGGAATTCAATGGAGATGTATCAGAACATGAAAACAAACCTTGCATTGATGATAACTCTTGTAGCAGCATTTAGGATAAAGCATAGAGAGGATAAACAGTCTGAAAACTCTAAAACAAGATAAAATATAGTCACAATAAAAGCAGTGTTGGTTCAGTATCTGCATGTGAAAGAATTTTCAGTCTGCCTCTATTTCACTTAGTAGAGCTTATTTATGGCTGTACCTATTTTAAAATGTGAAAGAGTGGCTCTGCTCTTACAATCATGGCATTGTGAGATTCTGTATTTATCCAGACCAAATGAGCTCACTTTGCACCTAACTGCTAGTCCTGTGAAAACACAACAGAGATCAAGTTGAGTTCTTTCCATCACCTACATGATTCCAAATAAGAGTCTGCAGTTCTAACTGTGGCCCTCCAGTTGCACCTGAGCCAGTCCCATTGTTTTCCATGTTCTGTGGGCTTGCACAGATAATATACTGAGACATAGGCTTTGTCTATATGCAATCTTTATATCGATTTAAATATTGGATGGAGGTTGGATTTTTTTTTCTACCAAAATACTTAAAATTGGTATAGTCCCTAATGTGGACACAATTGTTATGTTGGTACAAAAGTGCTTTATGCTTTTGTATAAGACACAGCCTTAGTAAAGTATTAGTCTGGTAACTGGGTCTGCAGTGCTTTTAGAAATAAAAGACAGAAGAAATAAATTACAACACATATGGAGCAGCTGTATTGTGTAAAATGCAATTTTTACATACATTCCTCAGAGTAAATCTATACTTTGGGCAATGAGTTTTAGCCTTTACTGTTCATGTTTGGAAAGGCAAATGGTGCTTGCTGGATTTTTAGCAATCTTTTCTTCATCTTAGAGCCCTGCTTAATCCTGTAGCTATTGGAATACTACTTCCTGTGGGAAGAAGGGATTTTTGCATTTTTCCCGGGTTTCACAGCAGCTGTAGCACATCAGTATTTTCACTGTTACCTCTTCTCCTTCCTTTCTAAATGGCATCATTCTTGTGATGTGCCCAAGTTCTTCTGACTGAAGAAGCAAAAGATTTAACATTTTTTCCATTCCAAGCCTCCATATATAGTTTTACTAGCCAACTGGCCGGTTTAATTGTTTACATTACCTATACCTTCGTATAAGAGGAGCTCACAAGTGCTCCTGTTGCATTAAAAGCTGGTTTAAACAAACTCTAATCCATGTTTTCATGAAGAGCTAGGACACTTTGTGCTGAATGAGGACAAGTTCAAAGTTTGTGAGGAATAGCTGTATTTGCTGTGCATCTTGTAGCTCAATCATTGCCATTGTAATGGAACTAAAAATCCACTTTTCTTTGAGATGCTTCTGTGGTTTTAATTAGTACATTAGTCAAAGGCAGTCTGTTGAAAAGCTCAAATGTGTAAAGGTTTCTTAAACATATCTTACCTTTAATACACATTTTTATTGCTAAGACTCAAGATTGGTTCAGCTGAAAATGAACCTACCATCTTTGGTTTTGTATTGGGCATGCACATACTCACTTATGTACTTCCTGCAAAGCATGTCTGCTGTGTTCTAGTAACCATCACTTTTTTATATAACGTGCTTGTGTTGAATTTGAATATTCTTGGCCACGGAACTGGACAGGCAAGTTGAATATGGAACTGCAGGAATTATGAACTTTTTGTCTTGATCGCTCTAGCAGGATTTGCATCTAGGGATAAAAGTCACTAGTATGCAAACTCTCTACTAATGTTGGCAGCTCTTGAAATATGCAAGTCTTGAAAGCATGGAAATTTACTAATAAATTAGTATAATTTCTTTGTATTTTTTTTTACTGCTGTTGAATATTAACTGTGAAAGATTTCACAGAACTGAAATTGCTGTGTACATCTTCTGAGACATTTTCCCATATAGCTGCTGGCATAAGTTCATGTTTCTGCGTTTAAGAAATAGCTACAGTGCCATAGTTGAAAAGATACTATCCTTTATTAAAATGCAGTGCTACTCTGAAGGATGACTGATGATAGAAGTGGCATCATAAAATTCTACATTAACAAGCCAATAGCTTCTATATGAAATTTGCACAGGTCAGGTTTTTTTTAACTTCAGATAGTACCTGTAAAGTGTGAAAGATTATGTTCTGTTCTCTTTTAAAGGTTCTCCCAACTTTTAAAGGTTCTCTATATCTGCAATTCAAAGCATGCTGTCAGTGAAATTATTGGTCCTGCCTTAGGGAGGGGGGCTGGACTTGATGACCTCCTGAGGTTTCTTCCAGCTCTGTGATTCTATGAATTCTATTACCAGGGCTCGACAAATACACTCGCCCGCTCGCCTGTGACAAGTAGACTTTACCAGCTGGTGAGTGCAGGGGCGGACTGGCCCGGTGGGCTGTTGTGGCGGGCTGGCTGAAGCCCGCACTACGGGCCGTGCGGCCCCTGTCTGATCCACCGGCTGGTGGAGGAGCAGAGCGCCGCTGGGAAGGGGGAAGTGTGGCGATTCTCAGCACTGGGCTGCCTGTGTGCAGCTCCGGCGCAAGGAGGCGGGATGCGAGCCAGAGGGTGGGACGCCGGCAGATGCCAGGACGCTGGCATGACGTGGCGTCCTGACGTCATGGCTGGTGACCGCCGGATTCAAAAAGGGTCCCTGCAAAGTGGAAGGCAGAAGGCAGAAGCCAGGTAGGGGAGGGGAAGGGAAGGGAAGGGACTTGTGCTGTGCTGAGGGGAGGGGAAAAAGATGGGGAAGGAGCTTGTGCTGAGGAGAGGGGAGGAGGTCAGGAGAAGAAGAAGAAAGGGGAAGGCACCAAGGGACAGGGGTGCAGGAGAGACAAATGCCAGGGGGCCAAGTGAAGACAATGAGGAAAAGGGCAGGAGGGGAGGTGTCATTGGGAGGGGGGACAGGGTGATGCGGGGAGAGGAGAGGGTAAGGGCATTGAGGGCTAGAGGGGGAAAAGGGAGATTCTGGGAGAAGGCTTGAAAGAAGGGGTGGGCATGAGGAAGGCAGGGATGGAACAAGGCATGTGTGAGGGCACAGGGGCATGAGGAGAATGGGGGCAGAGGTTGGTGAAGGGGTGGGTATCTGGGGAAAAAGAGGGAAAAGGGGGCAGGGGCAGTGAGGGAAGGGGGAGGCACCAAAAGGGTGCAGGTGCCAGGGGATTCTGGGGGTGAAGCAGAAGGGCAGACACCTGCAGGGGAGGGACCAGCACCAGAGGAGATAGGCAAGGCAGGTGTGTAGAGGAAGGTGTTAGGAGAGGGGTTGAGGAGGGGTAGCTCACATGATCAGAGTGAGGCTACTGGAGGAGTGGGCACGGGGCAGAGAGGGGCTGGTGGAAGGGGGCAGGTCTCAGGAAAGCTGAGGGCAGTGAGAAGGGCAGGAGTCAGGACAGCAGAGGAGAGTGAAGAGTTGGGGGGCAGCAGGCACCAGGGGAGCTGATGGAGCAAGGGGAGGAGACATGGCAGCAGAGGGAAAAGGGAGAGGTTTATAAGATATTTATTAATAACTTGGGTAATATTTATTAATAACTTATTAGTAATTACTGTTCTTATTCTTAGTAGGAATTTATGCTATAAAAAACACTTTTGGGGGGGTGGCGAGTCCCTTTTTTTGTCTGGCGAGTAGGGTTTTCCGTAATTTGTCGAGCCCTGCCTATTGCTTTCATTGTAACAGAGTAGAATTTGAAGAAAGTGAAGACTGTATACGTGGCTCTGCAAACGGAATTTAAAAGACACAGTTCATTCTCCTTGTGCTGTGTTGCTCTTCGTGGCTGCAAGTTTGGACCAGTGTCACTTGCGATCTCTGGGCTGTGAAATAAGAAACTCTGTCTCTTGTGTATGTAAAGTCACTGGAAGCGTAATTGTAACTGAAAACAAACGTTACTTGGTTCATCCAGTTGCTATGTTCCATGGTTGTTGTCTGCCTGTGTGCCTTATTCACAAAATATGTCTCCACAACTCCTAACCTTCGAAAGCCTTGAGATTTTTGTTTTCACTTCAGATAGAAGAAGCCGTGCACAATTCAGTCTGTCACAGTCAGTATGTTTTGGCTGGCATTAAATTCTGCATTGTTGCGCAAGACAGTGCAGACTTTCAGAGCGTCTAGTTTAAATGTGCCATATATAGGTAGTCAAGTGAGCATGTTTCTGTCTGCACGGCAGTGATGCTTTATAATGAGCATTTCTTTCAAGAGATTTGGCTGGAGTATATGCAGATACCTTTTTGAAAAAGGTTAGCTTGGCAGTTCGTGCAATCACAGTGAAACTGTAAAAAGGTTAGGGAACATTGATATGTCTGGGAGGACCAGGTAAAAGACATCTTTATTCCCCAGCTTTAGAGAAACCTCCATGGATGGGTTGGTGGAGGTGTTACGGACATACTTGTACTTTTCAGATTCTGCCTTTTGGTAACTGCTAGTACTAAAATTTATCTTGCTGGTTCAGTGAACAGTTAGCTATCAGCTTTGTATGCCCTCATCTAGAGAAGTTATTGCTACTGTAACAGGAGTAAGTTCTCTGTGCTAAAAATAATCCTCCTCCATTCTAAAGAAATATTTTAGAGTACCAGTGAGGGAGTGCTTTAAATAAGCTTGCAACTCTGTCAGACTCATCCAGCTCTCTCTGGCATAAACTCTCAGATGTCATCAGCCAGCTGGGAGGGCCCTTTACTGGATAAAGTAGTTATGCTTCCTAGAATCTAGTTTGAGGTCAGAAATTCCGGATCATCTTCTCATACTCAGTATGTGATAGGGTTCAGTTAACTTAACATTTTTATATTTGGAGATAGATATAGCAAAATGTAACTAGAAACTTCTCTTTGCCATTTTATCTTTTAGTGGATAGCTTTAAAATAGGTTGGTGTTTTGGACCAGAGAACCAGTTGGCTATTACTGCACAAAACACCAGAAAGTATTTACATTTAAGTAACCCCTTTCCTTATTTTGTTTTCAGATGCTTTGCATGCATATTTTGGGATCTGTGGCCTGTCATTAATGGAGGAATCAGGCATTTGCAAAGTTCATCCTGCCCTGAATGTAAGCACAAGAACCTCTGAGCGCCTTCAGCACCTCCATCAGATCTGGAAAACTAAGGACTCCAAACAGTGTTCAGATGATGTGCACATCTCTACATGACTGATTTAGACTCAAGCTTCATTTGGTAGCATAACTGTAGCCAAGGGTGAAAAGCCATGTATAGCCAATGTGCTCTTTTTAAGTGCTGGGGTCATACAGTCAAATTCATGTTTTTGGCATCACTTTGATAGTGAATGGCCTTTAGCCAGGTATTCTTCTCTTGGGTAAAAGGAAATTTCAGTTATGTAGAAGTTTGCCTCTGCAGACTCTTGAGACGGCTTGTACTCCTAAGAAATCCCTTGAGACAAATGGTTTTCATTTGTATTTTATTTTTTTAAATTTGTGCATACTGTGTCAAAGTTTATAATGGGGAAAGTGTCTTCAAAAATCTGTTTACATATTATCATACAGTATAGCACTGACGTTCAGATTTCTTAATGACCGTAATGCTTCACACACATTTGGATAGAGAATCTCCTATGTGAAGTCTCAATTGAAAGTAGATGTCAGCTTCCATAACCTTTGTAAACAACAAATAAAATTATTTTATTCAATATAGACAGGATTCCTAAAGTTGTGTGGCGTTATTACATTAATTCCATAATCCCCTCATAATGCTCAAATTAGGCAGATGTAATAGTTTGATATGAAGTATTTATCACCTTAATGGGATTTTAATTAGATTTTTAGGGCATACCATATTAATAATGAGAGAAGTTGTCAGCAGAATCCTGAGGTAAAGGTACCATCTGGCAAGGTGCCATCACAGAGGATTTCTGAAATAGCATGTCAGAAATGCTGGTAGCATTATATACCACTCAGTTACATCTTAATTTCTTTCAAACTATTTCTCCCCTTCTATATCAAAGAAAAAAGTTCTGATTCTCTTTTAAATGTCTGACTATGAAGAGCACAAAGTTGTATTTTAAAAGCACTGTTTGATGCTTTTTTTTAAATAGCTTTATTCCAAATAGTTCAATAAATTTTCATCTGTTTCATTTTCATCAGTTTGCCAGTGTAATCTCTAGTTGTATCAGAATTGAGAGGTGCAGTTGAGGTGCCGTTCTGAGTTCAAGCAAATAATTTTCTAGCCATTGAGCATGTGACAAATCACAGTTGCTTAAATTTCATAAACATAGGGTAGGGATACATGATACACCTAGCCTCACTATAAGGTTGTTGACCTGCAAATCAAAAAGCCACAAATTGTCATTTAAAAACAGATTTCCAGCTTCCCTGTTGCTTGGGAGATGCTGCTGGAAGCCAAACAAGTGATAAGTTCCTGACATCTGTCTAAAATTGATCTAAGAAGAGAAACTAAAGAAAAACCTGGACTTTTCATGATGATGAAGAATGACCCTGGGGCTGGTCTTTCCAACTCATTAGAAGGGAATGGGGAGAGCTGACCTTTCTATTCTCACAGGGAAGTGGCAACGGCCATCTTTAGCACCTCATAGTATAGAGAAGTAACCAATCTGCCATTCTAAGATGTCACTCAAGCTGCTGATGAAAATGGGGGAGTGGTTGTTGGAACTACTCTTAAATGCATTTCTCCTTGGCTGGAGAACCAGCTGTCTGATTTCTCCAGCAAGAACCCACCACCTTCCCAACTACTGACAGGAGCAGTGAGCTCAAGAAGAGCAGTACTCTTAATTGTGCTAAACCAGGGCTTAGCGCTAGTATTAGAAGTGAGTGCAAGTGAGGAAATGGCACTCCTTTTATTGGCCTGTGTGACATCTCCTGCATTGCCTTTGTCCCACTGGAAATTGGTGCATAATCCACAAAGAATTCCTCTAATGTATGGCTAACAAGTCACACCTTGTGGCTGTGTCTTTAGTAAAAATCATGTTGAAAAAACGCAAGAAACAGGGGTCCACGGAAAACAGTAAGCCTTGGCCAAATCCATAATCATTTTTAACTTTTGGAAAACTGGTTTGTTTCTAACAGAAAATATGCCATTTGCCATCTTTTTACTTAAATGATCAGCTACATAGCTAGTGAATCAGCAGTAAATATTTTAAACAATGGTAGCATGCCAGTGAAATAGTTTAATGCCTTCTTCCTCCTTTCCTTCACTCTTCTCCTTTTCTAGCTATTCAACTTCAGCCAGATTTTTTTCAAGCTGAATGTTGGCATGGTTGATGGCAGGCTTCAATTTCTCTTGAGTTGGAATAACTTACAAAATTGTAAAGTCAAGTTTGTTCCCCGTTAACTCCTTTGGCTTTGTTCTCAAGTCCCTGAACAGTTCATGCTTTTGCCTTTCCTCATTGAGACTAATTACTTTGATTGGTTTGAAACACTGATCTTTTAAAATAGAAATCTGTCTCTGTACAAGCAGCCAATTGGAATGCATTGTCATTCTTAATGTCCCAATCTTCATCAAATTTGACACATGGACACCAAACATTACAGTATACAAACACTTTTGATTTTGATTTCCAATAGTATTGAAGCTGGTAGACACAAATCTAATTTTATATTACAGTGAGTTGCTTATTGCATTTTCTTGCTCAGCCGTGTCATGACCAGAGTTCCCTGTACGGTGCCTGCCTGTGCGGGCGCACACCAAGAATTTTGTTTCCTCCCACCCCGTCAGCAGAGCTGTACAGCTGCGGCCCCGGCTGCTCCCGGGGTGGGGCCCGGTGGCTGGCTACTGGAACTGGAGCCTGGGCTGCGTTACTAAAAATAGCACTGTGGTCCAGCTCCAGTCCTGGCACATGGGACAGCCACTTGCTGTGTGGCCCATCCCCTAGGAACAGCTTGGGCTGAGGCTGCAGCTGCATGGCAGCTGCTGGGACTGGAATTGCGATATTAAAAATAGCGTGCTGCCCCATGTGCCCAGACTGAAGCCTGACCACAGTGCAGTTGTTCCTGGGCTGGTGCCGCAGACCTAAAAGTAGCACTGTGGCCCTGGCTGCAGCCCCAGCACATAGGGTAGCCGCCCACCACGCTGCCCTGCCCGTCAGGTGCAGGTGTCAGGATGGCAGAAGGGAAGGGGCAGGGGGATAAATAAAGCGAAGGCAGAGGTGAGGAGAGGAAGAGGTTTGTGCTGAGAGGAGAGGATGGGGCCAGGGTAGCTGAAGAAAGGGGCAGGGAGCAGGAGAGACAAATGCCAGGGGGCAAAGAGGAGACAATGTGGGGAAAGGGCAGGAGGAGACTGGGAATGCAGGAGAAGGGAGGGGACAAGGTGATGCTGGGAAAGGAGAGAGGAGGAGTGGGTGCTGAGAGAAGGGGTTGAAATGAGGGGTGGGCATGAGGAAGGTGGGGGTTGGAGCAAGTCCTGTGTGAGGGTGCAGAGGGGCGTGAGGAGAACTGGGGCAGAGGGTGGTGAAGGGGCGGGCACCAGGGAGGAAGAGGGCAAAGGGGCAGTGAGGGAAGGGGAAGGCACCAGGAGGATGTAGGAGGAAAGGTAAGATGTAGGTGCCAGAGGGTTGTGGGGGTGAAGCAGAAGAGCAGACATGGTGAGGGAGTGGAGTGGAGGGGAGGGACAGGCACCAGAGAGCAGAGGAGAGACGCAGGATCTTGCTACATTTCAAAGGCAGAAGCGTTGCAGGGAGCGGAGGACTCAAACAGTCCCGTGCGGGCCCTGCGCTCCCTGTTTTTGAAATGTACAAGAGCTCCCCGGTGATGGTGCTGGGGGAACTGGCTTTTAAGCCGGCTCCCTCTTGTTTTCTCTCTGGCTATGTCTAGACTACTCTGAAGTTTTAAAAGAGGTTTACGTGACTTTTCAAAAAGGGGCGGAGGGGTTGTCGAAAAAACTGCATCCCTACTACTTTCACTTTAGAAAGTGAGATCAGAAGAAGATATGCAAATTCCACTTTCAAAACTTAAGCGTAATCTAGATGAGCCCTCTCTGATAGAGGCAGCAAAGGGGGGTACCTTTCCAAACTCATGGTGAATGCCTTTCCAAATGTGCTTTTTACATACCAAGTGGGCTCTCCTTTCAGTCCAGTGCCCCAACTGGTGTGGAATGGAGCAGTCATGTTGGGAGAGAAGGGGAGTCCCTCAGATAAGCAGATTCTTTGTAGGATCCTTATCACTGTAACTAAAACCACACTAAAATTTAAATCTTCATGACAGTATAGAAAATGTATCCCAATTACTATGAAGAAAGATGAGAATCTTGGAACATTGCTAAATGGCCACTAGTGGGTACCAATTGCTATGTTACAATAGCCCAATTCTGCTAAACTGGTTAGCTTGTCTTGGAACCAAGATTGGATGCTGCAGAGAGAGATTTCATTAACTTGTACTGGATTACTAGGAACTAAGGAAGTCTTCCTAAAGAGTTATTGTCTTTGGCTTCTCCCCTCTTCCTCCCCAAAAAAATTATTTAGTTGTTAGTGTGTAAGGAAAAACAAAATGACTCTGGCTATCTAATTGACACTGAGAGTCTAGAACTGATGGAAGAGGGATCTCTGGCTCTAGGAGAGCAAAAGTGCACCAGCTATGGCCAGAAACATCACTGGCTACATGGTGGTGTGCGGAAAGAGTTCTAGCTGCATTTGAGAGTAGCTTGTACAGGATTCATAGCCTCCTCTCCTCTGCAACCTAAGCTGCAAGTTCCCATACCTCTTCTCCCTTCCTGCCCCCCTTAACATGATGTAAAACTAATGTATTGGTTTTTCACAGTGGGAAGAAAATAATTAGTTTTATAGTTAAAATCTGCCATTTACAGCATGCTGCACCTGTTGGGCACAGGTCACACATTTTGATAGCTTGTGGCAGTGGTTCCCAACCTTTTTTATGCCAGGGACCAGCAAACCCATTCACAAACCTATAGCAGACTAGCATAATTTTATTTACATATTCATTATGGAAATAAAAAATATGCAAATACAGCGTTGACTGGCTACCTAGCCCCAGTGGAGCTCCTAGCTCCCCAGTGCCTAACACCCTTTGACCACACCCCATGCCCTTTGCCCTTTGGTCCTTTAACCTCTGATTCCTATAACCCATGCCAACACCCTCTTGCTCCGTGACTTCACCTCGCCCTCACCCAATATCCCTTTGCCCCTATCCCTGCACTCCCCAGACCGAGGCTGCTCCCCTATAGGGAACGTAGCTGTTACTGCTGCATGGAAAGGGGGAGTGGCTGTTGGCAGCTCACATGTGCTCCCTCCTCCTTCGCACCCCCTTCCTCCCCAAATGCAGAGGACGGAGATGGGAGGAAGATGCCTCCTGCTCTGCTGCTTCCTGCCAGACCTCCTCCACCATGGCTGCTGGAGCTGAGCTGCAGTGAACAGCCGGCTTAAGTTTCAGCAGTCACTGGGGCCCAGCAGATGGCAGACCAGCAATGGTCCGCTGACCAGCGGTTGGGAACTGCTGGCTTATGGTACATGTTGGTTTGAAGGTGTGAGTAGGGATGGGGAGCTGGTGGGGGGGGGGATGTCAGAATGCTGGGCAAGGAGGCTGACTGTTATTGCAGTGCTTTGCGTGGCCTGGAAGGGGCAGTGTAGCCATTAATGAGACCAAAAGGGGAATGGATGGGTGGAGGAAGTGGCTGCACCAGAACAAAAAAATAGCTGGAAGAAAAAATGTTTGAACTGTTGATGAAGTGGTGGCAGATTTGATTAGAATCTGATTGGTATTTGATTTGAATGGTATAAATATGCTCCCGTAGCTATGAATTCCATACGTTGAACATGTTGCCCCCCTCTTCCCTTCATTCTAAGTTGCAGGGGACAGTGCTAGGCATGGTAAGTAAACTGCCTTTGATGAATTTGAGCCAAGGAACATACTTACAAGGTCTCATGTATGAGGAATGGCTAAAGGGGTATATGAGTGTGGTTTTCACTTATGGAGGATGGTGATTTTTTTTTCAATAAACACCTCATTGTGCCATGTACATGTCTCATATGCTCAGCCTTTACCAGTGAGTAACAGACAAATGTATCAGTATTAGGGGAAAGAAGATAGGACAGTTTATTCCTTCTTAATGCTACTATGCTTAATGCCTTCAAAGCTGCAGTTTTTCTCCCTCCTAGGGATGTAAGCGACTGCCTGATAAGCCATATGCTTATGGGTAGCTGAGTAGTGATTCAGCTAGTCACTTCCCTTCCCCTCCCCCCCCCCCTTGCTGCCTCTATCAGAGAGAAGCAACAAGTGGGGGGAGCAGGAGCCAAGCTAAAAGCTGGTTTCTCTCAGCACTGTCTGGAGCGGTAGGGGAGACAGAGGTGTAGCTGGAATTGGGCACAAGTTCCATCCCAGATGCTGTGGCTCTGCTTT